CCAGCGAGGGTCATAGTACCTCTGAGACTCTGCTGGTCCTGAGAGGCACTGATATCCACATTTACACCGTAGATAAAATGAGGGAATTACGTTAGAGCTAATCTACCTTATAGGCTCCTCAATGAAGGATTTCTGAGGAGAACGTTTCTAATAGACTCCAGACGGTGAGCTGAGGAGCAGCGCTAACGGCTACTGATGCTACGTTTCATTTATCTCTGTAGCTTAAGTGGAATCTGAAGCATAAACAACCAATTTTCCAGTTTTTCAGATGAGAAATCTGAATGGCTATGCCAATTACTGCTAGCGGGCAAAGCTAAACATGGAGAACTTTCACCCATGACAGCTTTGTGTCTTATTAAGGGTGAACATTTTTCTGAAAACGACCTGAATGTTGTGTTTTTCTTTAAACCTGTCCTGCTTATAGAAGAAGAGGCTATAAACCTTAGTTTGTCTTAAAGGGCATTTAGCTTAAGTAATATATATGTAAATGTGTAGATATGTAGAGGGTCTACAGTAGAGGAGTTCTAATCAGGGTCAGATAGTCACCTTTCAGCATTTCCAACATCATTTAACAATCAAAGGTTATGACTGCAGCTTTAAAGGTCACCTTACTGAGTAGCTCTGACATGAAACCTGGAAACGCAAACGAAGAGCGGCTCTTTATTCATCAGCCTGTCTCACAGGAGCATGAGGAATATTTTCACAGTGAAGATTCGATTTGTTTTCCAGGGCGAGACGAAGATCTTGAAGCTGAAAAATCTCCGCCTGCAGGACTACGCTGACTACACCTGCATCGCCTCGGTCAGGAGGGCCTGTGGCATCAGAGACAGAAGCAGCCACTTCATTCTGAACAACAGGACAGGTAAAACCAGACTCAGCAGAGGACACCCTTTGGTGGCACTCAGTCATTCCGTAAAGGGCAGCTGTCCTCCATAAACGCAATATCTACAGACGGCTCATAGGGAACCACAGCGAGCTCATGATCATACAGTAGCAGCCTTTCAAAATGGCTTCTCCTTGTCAAACGCCAGCCGAATGGAAGCAGACTCCCCTGCAACTCCGAGCAAAATGCGCTCCAACTTCCAGCCACCGGAGTGACGACCTTTCACTGAATTACAGGGTCTGACCAGGAGATTGTGCTTCACTTTAGATCTTAATGTCCACAAATCATTACAGAAAGAATATTTTAGTAGATGGATGTAAAGATGGATGTTTAAAAAGGAATTGTAGGGGACCAGCCAATGATCAGCCAACCACCAGCCAAGGACCAGCGAATGACCCTTCAAGGAAAGTGGGGAAATTTTGAATGGCTACTAGTGTAGACGGAGGTTGCTGCCATCTTGTGACCAAAGATAGGATCAACATCGGATGAATGAGCTCAGTTATGCTACGTTTACACCGGGTGCGACAGAAGCAGCGAGTTTACATGCAAAGT